GGGAAAGTACCTGCAATAATTTGGAAGTAAATGGAAGATGCAGTAAACAGCCCTGGCTAGGATACAGCTGTATATATTTATTTGTGTGTGTACTATGCTGATCCACATCATGTGTTGTGTTTTATATTTTTGTATTGAAAAGTTTAAAAGACCAGCCTGAGGGAATCAATAATAAGAAATCAAAAATTGCCAGTGCAGCACAGTCAGCTTTAATCCCCCGCTAACTGATTGATAAAAGAAACAGATATCAAAAGCACAAAATAAGAGCTGGCAGTAATGATAATTTTATCATTATTGCACCTTAACAAAATATTATGACTCTGTTATGACAAGAATTGAAAAGAGAAAGTTATGTTGCTAGGCAAGGGCCCGATCTCTTCTCCTGCAAAGAGTACAAATGAATAAGTGTTGTAAGACCAAACCCCACAAAATCTTTGTAAACGGCATCCTGGAATTCTCTACAGCAAAGGAGAGGACAGCAAATATTTCCCAGACTTCCAGTGATGCTCTGAAACTTTTGTGCTGAAACATCAAGAGTATCATTTTTAAAGCATAAAAATTAAAGCCTTAATTGTGGCCAATCACAGTTCTGTTGAGATTCAATTATTTTAACATTGGATTTAAAATATCTGCCTGATTTTTTCCCCCTCTAGTTGTTACAATAGCTTGCATTCAGCAACATCAAATACATTCAGATTTCTGATGATGATAATGTCCAAAGGTGACTTTTTACTTGTAGTTATTTAATACACTTTACTATTGTAAGTACTGCCTTTATTGTTCATTGTGGTACCAAGAAAACGACATGAATATCTTTAAAACACTTTTTAAAACAGTCAAAGAGCAACATTCTGGGTCATGCTGAGTTAAGGCCCATTTAAGTGAATCCTCAGGATTCCCCCAGTGAAGAGAGTGAGAGAATGAGAATGAAACACTCATGACAGATGTTAGTTATGTTGGTTAATGTGCTACTGGTTGGCACGTAGATACTAGAGGGGTAAGAGCAGTATAAGCATCTCAATAGAAAAGACAAGAATAAATGCAAGGGCAGAATCAATTAGATAAGTCTGTGTCCCAAAATTAGGTCTTTTATTTTCAAAAATATTTTATATGGCCAGATTTTAACAGAAAAAGTTCATGATCTGTGCGTGCTTGTTTTTTAATGAAAAAAAATAATTGCTTGGGTTGAAACAACCCACTGCAACTCTGTATCATTTTGGCAGCACCTAAGTCAGTGATGAGAAATAGCTATGAAACTAACCTGTCTATTTTCATTGTCTTCAAGAAATAAATAGAATATATATTAAAAAATAGAAAGGAAACGTGTTCTTAGCTTCATTAGTCAAAGCTGCTGTTATTACTAAAGATGTTTTAAGTGGAGCCAAAGACAGTGATGATGTTAATGTCAAATTAATATGGTCTATGCTTTTAACACGACACTTGCATACAGAAAAGAGAAAATGAGAAAAGCAATTTTCTTGATGCAAATATATTACATACATTCAGAATAGCAGGTACTCTCATTACCACAGATGAAATTGGTCAGGCAAATCCAGTACATCCTTCTCCAAGTCCTTCTTCAAGAGTTGCTTCTTTTATGATATCTGCAAAAAATAAAGGAACAGGTTAGTAGAGAATGACTCCACTTTTTTTTTTTAAATCACATAATGTATATTTAATCAAGCATAAATATTTGGATTGTATCACTCCCACCCATTTTATGATGCTCCTTCTCTGCACCAGCCTCAAATCTGCCAGTGCAAACTCTTGCACCTGGACAGAGTGCCACTCAACACAAAGATACTCTACAAAGATGCATAGATCAGAAGATCAGGGTGCAGGATTGGTACCACAGATTGCAAGCTTTTCTGAGCAAAGATTGTTTTCAACTTGTCAGAGACTGACTAGCATACTTGAGATGTTATTGAAAAACAAACAGTTAATCACAATACAGTTTTACTTGAATAGGATTCTTCAGAGCGTGTTAAGTAAATACCTGTCCTGACCTCTAAAACCCTGGAGTATAAACACTGTAAACCTATAAACAGATGTGTTTTTTGGAGTAGGATTGGTTGTGTTGGGATGTGTCCTGAGACAGCTGATCCGCTTCATTGGTGTCAACAGATATTGCTGGGTCTTCTGCTCCGTTGAGCTTCAAGGACCTGATTTTGCAGGACAAGAGCCCCGAGTGATGCAGTTCAACTCGGGGCATGCATCTGCAAAAGAGGCAACCCCGCAATGTGGGGTTTGCTTATTACACACCATGGGTATCCCGTATCCCACCCCCCGCAGGAGATTCCTGCAGCAGGCGTATCTGGCTGTGGTGCCCTGACTTGCTCTGCACCTCATGGGGATTTCCCCACTTGAAGACGTGAGGGCATCCCCTCCAGGGAGATTCCCAAGGTGTGCCATAAGCAAGCAGATGTCCTCCATTTAAGGCATCACAAACTGCAACTACCTTTGGTCACAGCAACATTGACAGGCACTTGGAGCATGACAGAGGTCTCTAGGACATCTGCTTGCTTGCAAATTGTGCAACCATAAAAAATGTTATGGTGGCACAAGGTGACATCTATTTGTACACTAAGGCAGGATCCAGACATGTAGGCATGTGTGGTTTGTGGCATGGCAGACCTCTTTGCTGCACCACAAACTGCATGTGTTGTATGTTAAACCGTGTGAGGTGCGGCTAATTTGCTGCACTGGGGCAAATTTTTCTACCGGGATTTCTGGGGAGCAAAAAAAATTCCCCCCTCCCCCCAAGCCACGCAAAGCATGCCAAAGTGCTATGTGCTGGAACAAAGATGTAGATGGGGGAGCAGGCAGCCCTCATTCTGAGGCACATGGGGAGCTGCTTGCTCTCCCATCTCGAGGCAAGCTACATCCCAGCTAGCTGCTCCACGGCTGGTTTGGGTGCAGTGTGCCTTGAGACGGGGGCTCCACGTGCCTCAGTGATGGGGCTCCACAGCGGAGCTCTTGCACATAGGTATGGGGAGATGGGGGCAGCCAGCCCATGGCTACCTGCTCCCCTTTCTTGTGGCACACTGCACCCCAGCTAGCCAGGGAGCGGCTGGCTGGGGTGCAGGGTGCCTCAGTGCGGGGGCTCTGCAGCGTGCAGAAACCAGGGAGCAGGCAGCCCTAGGCTGTGCCCCAGCCAGCCCCACCTACGCCCATGGAGCAGCAGGACAACGTATCCCACTGCAAATCACATGAGCAGGGGCATGCGCTGCAGCACAAGGTAGCGACACAAATTTGCGCCATTCATATTTGTGCTGCTGCAAATGCATGCCCTTGCTCATGTGGACACAACCTAAGAATAACATATCCGAAGACTCCTTGCTTTAATTCTCTTCCTTCTGCAAACAACAAAATTTAATATGAAACATAAAAATACATTAATTTTCTAAAACCTTTCTTACCCCCGTAACTGGTGAGAAATGTCCTTGCTAATATCTTCAAACTTGCTACAAGCTACCAGAAATAATGCCATACTTTGTAGCTTTTCTTCATGATTTTCATCAGATTACCAATTAGTAAAGTGCTCTTTGTGCAGGAAAAATCAGCACTGTTACTTCTGAGAACACAACATACAACAGCTTTATTGTCATTGCCTGATAACTCCCCTGTTCTAGTTTTTTAAACTCTTAAGTGACCATTAGTCCTTGACAGAGGCTAATAAACTTTGGCTTGGGCCACTGGAACGGAAATCGAGTCAGCGACTGCTTTATTGTTGACAGAAGCATTGCCGCAGGCTGCAGAAATCGATGCATTCAGGTAGCCAATTGTTTTGACATGATCTTTGGCTTTATTAGGGGAAGACTGATTGATATAGGGCTAGTCCAACAAAGGACTCATGCGGCCCCACTAGGAGACTGTCCCACCACCAGCCTATTGTGGGTGGAGGCCCCTTCCATCCAGCCTTTTGAAGCTTTGTTGCTGTGCAGAAAAGAATTCAAGATTCACTGGGCTGGAAAAAAAAGCAAGAAAGGACATGAGTTGCAACTCATGTTAAAGGCACTCAGTCAGGGGTGGATGATTTCTGTATTCTATCCAATGACTGTTTAAAGTAACATAGATAAAATGGGGGGCCCACTCACCTCCTCCGGCTATGCTTTAAACCAAAATGGTGCCCCCGATTGCATTGTGTGTGGATCCCAACCTTGTTGGAGTGTTATAGGTCTCTCAGTCCCCACTGGATTGAGCCTGTCAGGACACTTGTTTGAGGAATGGCTCATCTCTAATCCCAGATGGGCTTAAATATGAGGTAGGCCCCGAGCTGCTCAGCATTGTTGCAGGTTGGGCAGTTCTGGGCATACACAAGGACACGTGGGGAACTTTAAACTACAAAAGTGAGGTTCCCCTGGAGCATAGGTGGGGGTTTTCAGGACTCCAATTTTTATTTAGATGCATAAACTCCACCCAAAATTTTTGAACTCCCCCCCCAACATCTTGATACCCTGGCTCATTGAGCTGCCATTTTTGCCTTCCTGGATTGACCCCAGTTCTTCAAAACTGGGACAGTTGGTTTCCTTGTGAAACAACATATGCTCATGTTTATCTGTATGAAACATATAATATTTTCTTTATTACCATATGACATATGAAACATTAATGTATGTCATTGTAAAATGTTCATCGAGCAACTAAAAATTGAAAAATCTGTAGGAAAAAAGCCACGCTCTGATGATTAAGTATATTTACAAAGGCATTCATAGCAAGCTTAAATACGTGTCCCGTGTCTTTGTAAATGTCTTTTACTGATCTCTGAGCTGACCCAGTTCTATACCTGGCTTTGTACTGTGCACATACAGCTCTGCTCCCAGCTTTTCTGCTCCCTGCTGCAATCGTGCTGATCAGAAGCAGCATTAATCTAGACCTTTTTATTCAAAGAGATCTTTTTCTGTTTCATTTTCAAGACCATTTTCAAATGATGTCATGTGATGAAGACCTTTTCTGTGCTTTGTTGCAGTGAAGCATCTAAACTCTCATTCAGAATTCGAAAAAGATTTGTGTCCTGGCCCCCCCACCTTCATTTATATTATCACTGCCAGACAGTCCTCAGATGGGAATGATGCACAACAGAGACACAATGTGTGGCACTGTTTTTGGATCTGAAGCTAACCTAACCCTCAGTTCCTGATTTGAGTTGGGGGAATTCTTCTAACCTTACTGCCACCCATAGAAGTCATAGTTGGTAGATAGAATCTGTTGCCCCAAAATGTTATTCTGCTCCTCTTGAAATTTGTTAGGTATATTTTGCTTTCTTAACCAAATGCTGGCAGCCTGCTCTGGTTTTCATTTCCTACTTGCTTGCAACTCTTAACGACTTTGCAAACACACCTGGGGTGGAATCAGAAGTGCTGGAGACCCCAGCAAGCATTGTATTTGATCAGTACAGTCTAGGAACCGGAAGCCAGGGGAAATGAGAGAAGGCTTAGCAGAAGCAATGCCATAGCCTTCACAATAGCACAGCTGGTGAGCACAGCTCTAATGAAAGCTGGGGCAGTGTCTGATGACTATTCCTAGTGCAGTTCACAGAAGAGCACTTAGTACAGCTGTAAGCAGGAGCCAGATGTGAATGGCACAGCTTCGTGTTATTGCCTTGTGAGTCTTGATCATGTAAAGAAATAGAAGGAAGGGGCTATGCATCACCGTCTTGAAGCATATTTAAATCTCCTCTACATAGTTAATAAGGAAAACATGGATTGATGCTGTAGTAGTGTCAACATGGATCCTTATTAGGAGACAAAGAGGGAGAAGAGAGGAGAGTCACTTTCACCCTTAGAGCCCTTCAAGGAAACAGAAGGTTTTCCAGAATATGCTGACTGATGGCGGGGAAGGGGTTTTTAAATGCTATAATCCTATGCTTATGAAACAAGCACCATAAGGAGACGTCAGGTTAGATGACCCCTTACTCCCAGGAGATAAAGTTCTATACTTCCGTGGGGGAGGGAAGCAGCTTTGGTCTGTGAAATGAACAATTGCCTCCCAGGTTTGACAGCCGTCAGTTCCCAGAAAAAAAGTTTACAGCCAATTACTGCAGCGTGCTCAGTGTCTTCAAATCCCACTGAAGACAACAGCCTTACCTTGCTCTTTTTTCCATAAAAGCAGATCAGGGCCACTGACAGCTGAGGCACACAGCACTTATTAAGACCGAATCTGCCATATAAATAATATACGGAAATCTGTAAAATAAATTCTGGTATCAATATGGTTCCCACTGAACTTCGTGGGAGTCTTGGTTATTGGCTTGAATTGATGCAGGAACAAGCTATCTAAATGTAGATAAAACTCTGTTTCTCCCAAGCCTCTTCCTACTCACGTAGGGAATCTACTATGTTACTTGAATGCACTTGGTGCCAAACCTGAATCATCGATGCAGTGGAGGGAATGTCATTAAACAGAAATGCCACGATCTTGCTTTGTGCAGCAGTGGCTGAAGTGAAGTCATGAGACACTGGAGATCTAAGCAAGCTCAATTACTAGTCTTTGGAAACTGAAGACTGGAGTACAACTCACCCATGGCCCCAGCTAAATTGGGTTGGGAAATAAAAGAGTCTCTTGTCTGTCCAGTCAACTGTTTTCAAACTGATATGGCCTGAACCAATGTTAAGTCACAACCATAGAAGGCATAGGCTTTGAACAACCAGACCTTCTATCTTAGCTTTAGAAAGACAGGCATTGCCCAGACTGCATGGCTTTTAAGCGTGAAATATGGGGTGGTACCATTTTAAAAGGAATAAACAGAAACTGGAATGCAAAACAACAGGAGTGGCAGGTACAAATAGCCTCAAAGGGGCGAGAGCTTGGTTGAGAATCAAAAGAACGTGCTGTAATCTGCAGGTGGGATTTTAGATGTTTTGAAATGCCATCAGAGCTGCTACTATCCTGTTACATTTACCAGCTTCCTGTATACCCCTACCAGCATACATTTTATATTTTAACCCCTTAAATAGCAATTATTATTATAATGAAAATTAAATCTGCCATTACACAATTTCTCCCATGTACCCTACAAAAGATGTCTTGCGTACCCCCAGGGGTACGTGTACCACAGTTTGAGAACCCCTGCTCTAGAACTTCCTTTGCACAAAGCAGAAGTTTACATTTCAGTGCCTCAATCTAGCATTGGCCTAATTGGAAATGTGACATAATTTCCATTTTATACTCTGTTTCACAGAGCCCACTTTAAATCCAAAGGATGTAAACATCATCTCGTAGCACCCAGGTTTACTTACAATGCACCAAGTACAATTAATTGTATTATTTGTCTGGGTTTATACTGACTGCTAAATCATGGTCACTTTCATGACATGTAATTTGATTATTCTGTGTAACAAAATAGAAACAACAACATAGCAATAGAGCTGGGATTAGAACCTAGGAGTGTGTACAGAAGTTGGGTTTTTTTACCATTTAAAGCACTTTATTGCTGTGACTTAACAGAAGGGCATGGCTTTACGGCACTATAAAAATGGGTGCAGCGCTTTAAATGAACCTTTGTTAAACAAGGTATTGAATTTGAAGTGCTGTATTTTACAGCAGTTTCGCAACTTCAGATAAGTTCTGTATACTGGTCAAATTTCTGATCAGTGGAGAAGGCCAGAAGGCTGCAGAGCACCCCCTGCCTCCTAGCCTGGAAAGTGCAGGGAGGTTCAGAAACACCCCCACCACACACTGCACTTCTGTCATGTTTAAGAGCACTTGCTAGTGCTTTAAATTCGTGCTGTAAAATATGCACGGAGCAGTGTACATACCCTAGGAGTTCCACGGCTCTAGGTTTCCATTCAGACCATATCATCCTGTCACAAACATACTTTGTTTTGTCTTTACTCTTTCCTGCCAGCCCCTTGCTAGTGGTGAACACATGTGCTTGCATCAACAGTGATGTCTCTTAGATTACCCTTAAACAGAATTTACTTGCAGTTGTCCCTCTAGGTTTATGATGTCTGTTGGGTTACAGGAATAAAACTTTGCAGATGGAAAAGATCAAGGCACGTCTCAAGGCAGAGTTTGAAGCCCTGGAATCTGAGGAGAGGCATTTGAAGGAATACAAGCAGGAGATGGACCTTCTGCTGCAGGAGAAGATGGCCCATGTGGAGGAGTTGAGGCTGATCCATGCTGATATCAATGTGGTATGTAGCCTGTGGACAGTGTGAGCCATATATCTATATCTATATATAGATATAGTTCCATATGAATTGTCCTAGAGGGATACATTTGACAGATTAGAGATTTACAACCTGGGGCTCCACTGACACCAGACAAGGAACATTCAGCTGATGTTGGACGTGTTAATGGGAATCACCACTGGTGCTTATCTGTATCAAAGAAGAAGATTTTTAGTAACAGGCATGGGGTATAATTTTGGGGTCAGGGCCTAGATAACCCTGCTCACTGTTGATATAACTTTTCCAGCAGCCACAGTAATGTTTTCCTCTCACTTCCTAGTAAATAACCTTCTGAGTCCTATCTAATTTAGCATCTTTTGTAATTGGCTGGGATATAGTTTGTAGCTTTTTGAGGTCTACAGCTCTTAACATAGGAGAGCCTTTGTCCTTGATTGGAGACACTAAGCACTAAGGAGATAAAGAGAAATAGCAAGAGAAGGGACACTACACACAAAAGGAAGATGCAATATTTAGAAGACTGCAATTTTAAACCCATGGTTTCTACACCGTACGGTTATAAAGTGTTTCGAGCTACAGGGATGTCTGGGATCTGTAGTAGAGAAGGAACAACTCCAAGTCTTAGGCAGGCACAAATGGGTGCTTTGTATTCAGCCTGCATTTATTTATCATGAGATTTGTTTCTCTTCCTCCCAGCTGTTCCTTAACATTCTCTACTTTCACCTTATTTTTCCCATCACATTATCTTTCTGTCTGCTGTTTTTCTCACTCCTTTGCCCAACTAGAACAGGTTCCCAACAAAATCAGAATCAAACTTTTGAACCCAGGGTGTTTGGCACAATTTGAAACAAGACAAAAAGTTTGGCCTGCTCTAGCAGAGAGGTTTTACTTCATTTTAACACTGGACAAGAATCTTTTCAAAGCTTCTTATTCAGCAGTCCAGCCTACTAGCTATTTCTGTTGTGCAGAAAAAGGTATAAGATGAATCCTTCTGTGACACTGCCTCATATTTAATAAGACAATGCCTTGCCTAAGAACTGCTTCCTTGCCCCTCTTCTACCCTCTGTATTTGACCATGTCATTGTCTGTGTATTCTCTAACAATTTCAATATGTTCTGCTCTCAAAAGGACATCATTGTACTCTGCCACCTGTGGCTGAGGGTTCAGAGACTAGTGAATGAAACAATCCATTAAGCAAATATCTCCTGTTTCAGATGGAGAATACCATCAAGCAGTCTGAGAATGACCTCAACAAGCTCTTGGAGTCCACTCGACGCCTGCATGAAGAGTACAAGCCCCTGAAAGAGCATGTTGATGCTTTGCGGATGACTCTAGGCTTGCAGAGGCTGCCAGATCTCTGTGAGGAGGAAGAAAAACTCTCCCTTGAGTAAGTCTTTAGATCAAGCGCTACCTGGCACTCTAGCCAATCATGATTTGCAAGATATTTTTGGTGTCAGCTGGAAGGTGGAAACTCAGAAGCAAGAAATTTAATTAATGCAATTAATGAAGAGGGGATGGGGGTTCATATATGCATAACAAAAGTGAGTCAGCTCCTTTCAGGCCTATAAAAAGGTTCGATCTGAGTTTGGGGCAAAGATGAAAGTTTAATTTAGAACTGCCCAAGCACCAAATTCCAGCTCCAAACTGCAAAATTCAAGGGCAGTTAAATGTCTGTTTTTTAATTACATGGTGCTTTTTCTGAAGGATTCATATCTTCTATCTAAATTAGAATGGGTATAGGATAAGGTGGGAGAGGAAACCAGGATTATCATCCTATTATAAAGGCACGTCTACACGATCATTAATGCGCCTTTGCTACTGCACACATTAAGTTTAGTACTGCTAATAGGAGGTACTAGATAAAGGCGCAGCAGCTGAGCTAATGTACAGTAGCAAAGGCAAACTTTTTTGGTGACACTTAATGCGCAGTAGACTAATTCTACTGCACATTTTTTTGCCATGACATTCTAATGCGCAGTAGAACAGTCCACTACGCATTAAGGTGTCTTGTGGTGGATGCACCCAATAAAGAGTTTCAGTTTTTTTGGCATGTAATTACATTTTGGATCGTGTCATGACCACCCAACGCCCACTAGGACTTGCAGCCCCACTTTTGGTCAATGTTCATCCACAATAACTGAGTTTCTGTGGACCTTGCAACCTCAAGCACCAGTGCTACAACTTCTGGTTTGATATCTGTTGTAATAGTTGACAGAGCGTATGTCTACGAGAGATGCTACGGTACAGTAGCAATGAGCTACTATGCCATAGCTTGTTGCTACTGCTCAGTAGCATGGCCGGGCACTAATTGAGGCAGTGCTACTGTGCAGTAGTAGTGTCAGGGGAGGGGGGGGAACTTGTGTCAACAGTACTGTGCAGTAACAACTATGTAGTCCACCATGCATGTAGATGTGGCCAGAATTGAATGATTCTTCGTCGGAACTCTGTTTTCAGAGACAGCTGTCAAAACATCAGACAGACACTGAATCCAGATGGCTGGATCTCTGGTAAAAGTATTAATGACATTCTTCCCATATGAGATCCAGAAAGGCAAGTTAATAATGCTTCTCCAAAGAATGGCTCCTTGCACTTCAGAAAGAAGTGACAAATTCTGCCATTTGGCTTCTTGTATGAAATAATAATAGAGTAGGTTCTGCAGGTTTCTTGCTGATCCACTGCAAATGATCTCATCCCTTCTGGCCTTAGAAGATATGAAACTGACAGTCACAGAACTCACGTCTAAAGCTTTAGATTAAATGTGACTAATGAATGCATTTCTTCAACCTTAAGGTTGCAAATAAAACTGAAAATAAGAACATGACATTGATTTTTTTTTTTGTAAAATATTTTATTAACTTGCATAACCTCCTTCCCCCAAATAGCTACACTACTTATTGCAATCTATATCTGTTAATGGTTAGATCTGTCCAGTTTTACCAGTCTATTTTATTATTTATTAGGTGTCAGAGGACTTATGGTTATGGTCACCAGCTATATTTTAATGCTCAGGGCAAATACAAATCAATCACTAAAAATGATAATTTTAAATACTTTAAAGAAAAAATTCTTCATTTTTAAGTTTCAAATTATGACCATTTTAAACTGAGGCCTAAACTTATTATAAACTTCTATAATAATTTAAGTTAAAAAAAGGAAGAAACATTTTGGCAGCACATGTTTACTACCCATGAATGATGCCAAAAATAGGACTGAAGAAGATAATTATTTGACTAAGTACCTAAAATTAGTGCTTGTTGAAAGGCTAAACTTGCTTTTGATAGCTGTAGCCTTTTCTGCAGATGCATACAAATATTTTAATTATTTTGATTTGTTTATTCTAGGTCATTTCAGTAACTCCTTTATCCAGAAAAATGGAATGGGAGTGCAAAAAGCAGGAAAGTTTGTTTTCCCTTTCACATCTATGAATAAAGCTAGGTGTGTTAAGCTAAGATCTACTAGTTTAAAAAAATCTTGAAAGACCTGGTAACCAGAAATCAATTAGTTAAATCCACCAGCTAAAGATACATCCTTTGCTTTATAAATAATTTAGTTTTCAGTGCAAAATATGTTTTAATAAACTTATTTTTCTTATGGATTTGGGGCATATCTAACATAATTTCATTTGTTAGGGGGGAGGCAGGAACAGGGCAATCAATTATTAGAATTGGTGATATGCATCAGTTCATTTTGATCCCATTTGAAATATACTGGTTCAAATGAGTCCTTAGGGTAAGTCATTTGTCTCTTGTAGAACCCACCCCCCTCCAGGGATGAGTACAGTCCTTTATATTTGAACACAGAACAGCTATTACCAGCAGTGCTTGCTACATAAAGGATGGGTCAGCAGCTGATTCTATTTTTGGTTTGTTTTCGTGTAGTTACTTTGAGAAGCAGAAAGCGGAATGGCAGACAGAACCGCAGGAACCTCCCATCCCAGAATCTCTGGCAGCAGCTGCAGCTGCTGCCCAACAGCTACAAGTGGCGAGGAAGCAGGATACCAGACAGACGGCAACTTTCAGACAACAGCCACCTCCAATGAAGGTTAGGAGGTGGAATGTGGCACTTGGTCTCTTGAGTGACTGGAGTATGCTCTGTTCTGAAGTGATCAGTGTTATTAAAAAAAAAATGGGGCCAATTTCAATTTTGCTTACACTGGGATGAATCGAGAGCAGTTCCCAAGAAGCTACCAGAGCTGTAGCAGGAGGTAAGGGATCAGATCATGCTCTCTATTGGAGAATCTCCCTCGGGGGAGAGGCAGCAGGTATCCATTCTTCCAGCACTGCCTGAGCTTCAGAAATAGCAGTTTCCCAGAAAAAAAATACCACCTTCTAAAAAGGTCTTTTTGTTCATCTAGTAAGAACTACAGTGGGAAGTTACAGCCTAACACACTGAAATTAGAAAGAAAACATACATTTTAACACTGAAGACACTTAAATATTGGAACAATCTACCAATGAAAGTGGTAGATTCTCCATCTCTTGATGTTTTCAAATGAAGAGTAACTATATAACTGAAAGCTGTGCTGTAGTTATATACAAGTTATTGCGCTCAGTAGAGAGGGAGCTGAAAAAAAATCTATATAGGCCTCTGGTATATGGGTCAATATAAATGGTATAATGACCCCTTCTGGATTAAATTCTATGAACCTGCAGCTGGACTCCAAAACCACTTCTCTGATCCGGTTAGGCTTCTTTAATACAGTGCAGTCTTGTTCTAATGAACCCCTATGGGACCAGGAGAAAAGTCCATTAAAAGAGGGTTAGTCAATTTGCTGCAACATAATAATAATTTTTTAAAAATTGGTTCCTGCTATTGGAATTATTAAAAGCACGGCATTTATCATAAACAGGGTTTGTTCTAATGAGGTTGTACTGGACAAAATGTGGAGAAAGAAAAATAAATTGGGATATAATAATCGGAGTAAATGACATGGAGGTTGTGTTGACCATTTATTCATTTGTTTATTTAATTCAGTAAATCATCTAGCTTTCATTTGACCTGAAGATTTTGGAAAATCCAGGGACCTCACCACAAAAGTTGGTTCTGTTTTAGTATTGAGAACATGGAGCTTTGGTTACTTTTTCCTTAGAAGGAGTTAAAGTAAGATGCTCAATACGCAGTGCATCTCACCAGGATTTACGGATTCATTGATAAGTTTGCCAAATAGTAATAGGATGCAATATTTCATTTCAGGCCTGTTTATCCTGCCACCAACAAATTCATCGGAATGCACCCATATGCCCACTCTGCAAAGCAAAGAGCCGGTCTCGGAATCCAAAAAAACCCAAGAGGAAACAGGATGAATGAGACATAGGAGACCATGGAGCAAACATATGACCCATCCCAAACCCTTTCCAGTAGAACTGTAAACGTGGCCAGAATTTATCGAAGTGCAGACTCAAGTACGATCTATCCATTGTTTTCTATTTAATGTGATGTAAGCACAATGTTTCTGTTATGTCTAAATTTCCTTCCAGTCCTCGAGTTTTGGTTTTAGGAAGAGACGTGTTGATGGTGCTACACTTTCACGTTTCAGTCATTCCGTCTTTCTGACTGCTAAGCAGAGTGGAACTTCTAAAGCGAGTAGTTACAATGCCAGGGGGCACTTCATAAATCTGATTGCTGAAAAGGAGAGATGATCCTTACCATGAAGATCCATTTGCGGATACGTGTTTTATAATTAATTACTACAGACGTGAGTTACTTCTACTGTACCTGCCAGAATGTCCCTGGGTTTTTCCCTCTCTGCACTGTTTACCACTATAGTATCTGACTAAAGCAGGAATTGGCCATAATACCAGAACATTCTTAATGATCCAGTGTTGCTACAGTTAATTTTATGTCTGCTTTTTAAACAAAGTTACGCTAATTTTCTCCTCCTAAGGAAATGCCACTTGAAGAATAGAAGTGCTTGAGTATCCATTTGCTGTGCTAAAGAACTATGTCTTAATCTAACCAGCAAGATTGCACATGGCTAAGTGTAGACTAGAGCTCATTTTATCAAGAGCCTTTAAGTATATGAGAGAAAACAAGGATTCAGACAGATACGAGATCAACACATGCAGTTGGGGTTCAGATTAACGTGGTCTGATTGTTGTATCCCCACAGACCAAGCGTAAAATCTAGGGAGAGAACCACATCAAATCAGTCAAATGAATTGCTGAGAATAACACGGGTTCATTACATTTTAACATCTTTAGCATGGCCATTTTTCAGCGCTCATAAGACTGACTTCAATTAAGTACTAAGGCTCAAGTCAGAAGTATTTGTGAATTGCCAGTGCTCTGTAGCCCAAGAACTGAACCTGGTTCTTCAGAGAAAACTCTCAAAGATCCCTCATCTCTAACATCCATTGACTGTAACATTAACCCTTCTGTGTGTCTTTGTCCCTCTTGCTTGTATGGGTCAAAAATCAGCCTTGGAATGCAGGCAGGCCCAATGCCGAGTGAAGTCATGGGGAATTTCACTAGTACGCTTCACAGTGGCTGCGTCTGCATAAGACGCTTACTGTACAGTAGCTCATTACTACTGCGCAGTAGCATCACATGGCATGAACCGTGACATAATGCTACAGCACATTAGTAATGAGTTACTGCACATTCAGTGGCACCAGGAAGCTGTGCAGGGATGCTACTGCACAGTAACACCAGTTACTGCGCAGTCATTTAGTACTTAGGTATGCTAGTTCTAAATGACTGTGCAGTAACAAATGCACAGTCAGCGTCTTGTGCAAATGCAACCGGTAGGACTGGTTGAAAACATTTTGTTAAAAATTGGGGTTTTGACAAAATAACTTTTTTTCATCAAAATGTCATTTTTTAAAAGTTTACGTTTTCCACAAAGAAAGCAAAAAGGCCATTTCCCAAGCAATTCTAGTCCAGGACCAGCTATGTTTCCTTGCTTCACATATTTACCAGAGTCTATTTGGAGTATGTATCACAATCCTCTAACACATGTGCGTGCCTCAGCTAAAGGGACAATTAAATACATAATGATACCTACTCAGAGAGAATCTATGAAGGGCACTGTCCTTAATACAGAACTAGGACCCAGAACCCCTTGGATCCTAATCCCAATCATTGCTTTGTTTGCAAGACTGCTGTGGGGCTGGTACAGCTGGCTTGTCTCAGACTTGGGCAAATTCAAATAGTATTTAAAAATCCTACTAAAGAACTGGAATATTTTAATATTAAAATTATTTTCAATAACTTTAGGGATTATGCAGGCAAGGGACTACTCAATTAGGCTTTCTTCTGCAGTTAAGCTGGAGTGGTTGTTTTAGGAATTCTTAATTTTTGCAAACAAGTTAGTTTCCAGACTCTGGTGAGGAGCCTTTCCCTCTGCTTGGGACTCGACCAGCAAAAGCCCTTTATGTGGGTTTGTAAAGTTACCAAGTTTTTCCCAGCTTGTCACAGAGTGTTTTACTGAAGTGAGCCTTATAATTGAACATAATTTTAGTTGGCATTGAACCATTATAATGGTTTCATGATTATATAAACATCTGTCCACAGTAAAGAGAGAACTCAGGAGCTTCTGTTTCAGAAAATATAGGCTTCTGCCACTTAATATAGAGGGAATTTTTTTAACTTTAGTAATGTGGCCAAGATCCTGCATAAAATGAAGCCACTGGAAAATAATCTGGTCCTAAATACAGTTTTTCAAGTCTAACGTTCCATTCAGTAGATGGCAGTGGTGACACTGTCTGCCACCTTCTGTGTGTCCTGACTTGCATATATTAACAAACCTAAAATACTGCATTCTGCTTTTGAAAGTGAAAGGGGCCATATATATTATCTTTCCTATACAGCGCAATTTCTACTGGGGTGATAGGAAAATGTACACAGGGTGAGAGGGTGGTATAAGAGCCCCTAATTTGAATGCATGAGTACATCCTTTTGTTAACATATGTATATAATTTCAAAAACTAATGACAACAGACACTGGGCAAATGGTTCTGCAATTATGTAGCTTCTGTAGAAGGATGGATTGGTAAAAACGCTGATGTCCAATCCTGCCACTCCCTCAACAGACAGGATCAGTCCTACCTATTCTTGCCTCATTCTTACATTCCAGGGTTATTCCTGCTTGGGGATTTCCTGATTGAACTGGAGAGTGCTTGAAGATGCACCATTTTCTAATTCAGTATTTTGGATTTTTATTTTTATTTTAAACTAGTCTCTTGTGCCTTTGTGTTCAACAATGTCATTTTTTAAAGGAAAAACAACATGTTTATAATATGTGCATAAAAGACAAAATAACCATGTATTAGTGTTTACATAGCTGTTTTCGTATCCTTTATAAAGTTGTGCTATATGAATGCTGTGCATTGCTGGTAGTGAGGCAGACTTGCACCAAGAAGTCAAAAATGGAATGACGTATTTAAGGGAGGAGGGCTCTTACTAAGGAAAACGGTGTCTACCTGGCACTTCCTACCACAGACCAACGAAGGAAGATTACTGGATGCCTTCACATGTGACAGCTCTGGGCCTTTTCTTTTTCTGAGCTCCCTTTTTCTTGTTCAGAGACTAGAAAAAATATTGTGACATACTGAATTCTTGATCTTTCAGGCTTATGCAAAGCTGTCCCATAGTTATATAATTTCTCAACTTTTTGTAAAGTAGAAACTTCTACAGATCAACAATGGCCTCTAATTTTGGGTGACTGTAACTCTAAAGTTTGGGTTCACTGCAGTGTTAACCTGGACTCTTCCTCTAGTTTCAGCCCAAGCCATTCCACTCTCAGAACCCCACAAATCCAAGTTTTCTTGTGCTGTTACAACCCGATTCAATTTAATGCTGTGAAATAAACCCACTTTGCAATAAGGATTCAGGGGCAAAACCAAAGCGAATCACGTTTTGTTGACAGTCTGCCCTTCCTACAGTTTCCCAAGAAGATGGAGAAGTTCTCTTGCAACTGACACCACTGGCTGGGAGAAAATCCTACAGCATCTTGACACATACACCCAGGGGATGTATGCCATCAGGCCAGGGGCAGATCTGAGATTTGGAAAAGGGGTGTGTGGGAGCAGCCAACTATGGTGCAAGAGTGACTGCACCTGGCACTTCCAGCCTTCCTCTTCCCCCTCTGCCCATCCGCTGGTGTGGACAGACCACACCATGGGAGCCTCTGGTAACTTTCTTAAAGAATCCCATTAATTCCCCTCCATGCTCAAACACACTCCCTCTGTTCCCATTTCTCCCTCTCTTGCATGCTGCTGCTGCTTTTCCTGCTGCACTGGGATCAGGGAAAATTCAAAGCTACTCCTGCCTGATCCAGCTAGGCTGCATGGGAGCTGGGCTCAGCTTGGAACAGTGACAGTGGCAGCAGCATTGACAGGTGAGGGGATGGGTTCCCCAACCCGGCACAGGGAAGGGGAACCCCGCTGCCCATTGCCACTGCTGCTGTCACTGTTGCCAGCTGAGCCCAGCCGCCATGCAGCCCAGATGGAGTAGGCAGGAGCTTCCCCCTCCCCAAGATGGCAGGGAAAAGCAGTAGTAGCAGGGGAGGGAAGGAAGGTAGGGAGGGGAGGAGACATGCCTCTGCATAGAGGGCAAGAGGGAGATTCTTAGGTGCTCTGAGGACTTTAAAAAAAATCTCCAGTGGCTCCTGTAGCATGGTCCAACCTGAAAACGGGGGACGGGGTCAGCTGTACCACCACACCTCTCTGGATCTGCCCCTGTGTGTTATAACAAGGAGGACAGAGTAAAACGAACAGGGCTTTGCTATAGAGACATTCATGCCCAGGCTATGCCAACTTGACGGCGCAGTGTTGAATACCAATCATCCAGGTTAATTGTGAAGTGAAGACACCCCTTAAATTATAATCTTTACACTCAGTAAAATAGATTGAAGTATGCTTGCCACACACTGAACCTGCCATTGACTGCAAGTTACAGAATTAGAGGCCATTTAAAAAAAAAAAAAATGTAGCCCCAAATGTTTTGCTTTAAAGATCAGGTTTAAGCAGAGCTCAGTTGAGAGCTAATGCACACCTTTAATAAGTGAATACTTAAGACACTGTTCATTTTTATTTTAGGCTTTCTGACTTTTCCTTATTATTATGCATTAGTACTCGCCTTGAGTTGCACCAGCTTCTGTGTTTAAATAATATACTCCCTTGCCCAGTTGGGATAACAGTGTGCTACAAGTTCTGCTTGTCTGTACAGTCCTTTTTAATAAACATTGTTTCATGTTGATTTCTTCCTTTAGGGTATTTTCAAATGTGTTAATTGAATATTACTGATGAATACCTAGTGTTTTGCAAGTTGTAAACACAGTTCTTTAGTTTTACAATGTACAATTAACCATTTCCCCTTTTTACCCTTATAGCAAGTTTATGGGCCTGAAAATACTACAGACTAAAGAGAATGTACATCCCTTTTAATGAACCTTGGCAGGGAGGAAACATATAATGGTAAGGAAGAAGATGGTAAATCTGGCCTGAACAGCATCTGGACCTCATACCAAGCTTCTGCTTGTGCTCAGAGATTTCTGTATTTAGATATGAGACAGATTTTCATAAGTGTGAATTTTCATACTGCTTACCACTTACATATGGAACTACCTAGTTTCATACATGTGAATGCCTAAGTTGTACTTGCAGTACAAGTCAGACCCATAACAAGAGGACAAAGAAACCTTTCTACAGTGACACACAATTTCAAAAGCTTGTCTATATATAACAGTTAAACAAACACAAACTTCCACTGAGACATTTATTTCACCTTAAGAGTTCTTTATTGAAGCTTAGCTTCAACTAATTCCTAATCGACTTAAACTAATACAAAATAAGATTCTCTTAATCTGAACAAAATGTCTAAACTCATGTTTTAATTAAGAGAGGGCCATCCACTCTCAACAAAAAAAAGCCACATCTAGAGCTTGCTTTAAAGGTAATGATTTTCCCTAAGAGTGAAAAAGGGATATACTCTGCACAGATTTAAAACTCGATTAGGAAATGTTAAAAACAATGGTTATTTACCTGGCTTAGTAAGAGTTGGAAAAGAATATACTACATAACTGGAGCTTCTCAAGTCCAAAGCAGAGACGCTTGACCCCAAGTGGCTCATGGACTCAACTCTTACAGACTACATACTCCAGGTCTTTTTAAGTACCAGAGGCCTGATGTTCCAGAGAGTCTAAGCAATCTACTAAGTGACATGTCCTTCCCTAAAACCTACAGGAGCTAGTAGATACAGGGAGGGAGGCACTGCATGTGAATCTCTCCCCCATGTTAGAGCCACTGCAAAAAAAGTTTGCCTGCTGGGCAAGTTACTCCCAAGTTCTTTTGAATTCTTCCTGGGAACTACCTCCTTTGTTGCCACATGTGAACAAAGCTAAAAAAACCCCCAAACAATGCAGGGTGCAACTTATTAAAGTCCTAAATAAGGGACTAACACACACCTGCTAGTGATTATTTTTAAATAAACCTTTTTTGGACAATGTTGCAATACTGCAAAAGTGATTGACTGCCCACTAGGAGTGTGCGAAACAGGCCGTATTTGATTCGGATTTGGCCTGAATCAGGGACAGTGATTCAATTAGTTGATTCGGATTACTGTCCCTGATTTGATTCGGCCAAATCCGAATCTGAAGATTCGATGTTGATTCGGAGAATCAGCAATTCGGCCATAGAAACAGCTTTAAATGTTTTTTCTACATACCTGAAGATACCAGGCATGGCTCATGAATGCTGCGACGGTGAGGTGGATGGAACATCCCACAGGAGCATGGGGGCCCCCCCGTGTGCTCAGCAGTGAACCCGAAAGTAGACCAGAAGTACTTCCAGTCCACTTCCAGGTCTGCCAGGAGTGTGCTGGGGGGGTCCACTTGTGACCCCTGGCTCAGCAATTGGCTGCGAGGGGACCCTGGGTGCCCCACCCTGACCCAGGAGGCACCAGTTGCTGAGCCAGGGGCGGTTTGGGGTGGGGGGGGGTCCCCCTGCGCGCTCCCAGTGGACCTGGAAGTGCTTCTGGTCCACTTCCAGGTCTGCTGCTGAGCACACTGGGGACCCCGCTGTCCTCCTATGGGACACTCCATCTGCCCCACCATCACAGCATTCATGAGCAGCCTGGTACCTTGAAGTATGTAGAAAAAGTGTTTAAAGCTGTGTCTGTGTCTGAATTGCCGAATCTTTTCTAACCGATTCAGAGGGTTCTGGTTTGATTCAGAGAAATTAAAAGGTCTTCTGATTTGATTTGGATTTGGACATTCAGCCATGAAATCGGGCTGAATCTCCACTGAATCGAGTCAGGGACCGAAGCTTCGTGCAGCCTTGCTGCCTGCAGTACTTGTCAGCAGTGGACTCCCTTTGGCCCCTCTCAATTGATGTTAAATAGTTTAGCTGCTAAGACAGCTAAGATGAGAATGATGGTCTTTAGCTGTTGGAGTGGCTGAGTTCAAGCATATCACAGGAAATCTCATGAGGGGGAAAGCGTTTGTTTCATCTATGCTGGCAGTGTCGCCATTTTCAGCCACAGAGGGAAGGGAAATTGGTCCCGACAACCATTTGCCAATTGTCCTTTTCTAAATATAGATAGGAGCCAAAAAAGAACTCCCTTTTCAGCATGCAGAACTGTCATTAATCTCAAGGAATTACACAGACATAGTAGCTGCAGCTACATGAGATGCTGACTGTGCAATAGCTCGTTACTACAGTGCAATAGTGTTGCATGGCACGAAGTGTAATGCAATGCTCTCATACAGTAGTAACGAACTACTGCCCAGTCAGCATCACCTGAAAGCCATTCAGTGATGCTACTGTGCAGTAACTCCAGTTACTGTGCAGTCATTTAGTACTTGTCTATACAAGTACTAAATGACTGTGCAGTAACGACTGCACAGTCAGCATCTCATGTAGCTGTGCCCAATGAGAACAGAAAGATCCTCTGGTCCATAATGACTACGACACAAAAGGGAGCTTGAATACCTACTTACCCTTACTGCTTTGAATACAGACAGTTTGAAGTCACAGTTCCATTGGATTACACTTCAACTTATCATCAAATACAAAGTCTCATCTCAGACATAAGCCACATTTAATTTAGTTAAAACACAGTGGGCCTGTCTACACAAGAGGCTTTACTGTGAAGTAGATTAGTCTACTATGCAATAAAGCATCACCGTCTACACAAGCTCATATTTACTGTGCAGTAAATTAGTCTACTGCTCAGTTAGCTACTGCTTGTAAATACAGGTAGTAAGCTAAATGCACAGTAGATACTGCATATTAACTTGTGTAGATACTGACCAAGAGCAAATTTGCTCCTGTCACTGTAGCCAGGAGGGGGCCACAGGGGACAGGGAGCTTTTTGTCCCTGATCCTGGCACTACTCAGCTCCCTGGCTCCCCACAGAAGCTGGGAGCCAATCAGCGCCAGGACTGGGGAGCTCCAGGGAGCAAGCAGAAGCTGGAAATCCAGCCCTCACCTGTCCCCTGGAGCAGCTCTGTGCTGTGCAGAGCTGGCTGTTCCAGGGAATGGTCAGGGGCTGGAAATCCAGCCCAAATCCAGCCTTTGCCTGTCCCCTAGAGCAGCCAGCTCCACACAGACTTCAGCTCCACACACTTCAGGGAGTGAGCCAACGGTGGGAATCCAGCCCTTGCCTGTCCCACACAGCAGCTCCGTGCTGTGCAGATCTGGCTGCTCTAGGGGACAGGCAAGGGCTGGATTCCCAGCCCTTCCCTTCCCCTGCACCCCAGCAGCCAGCTCCATGCCAAACAGCCCCATTCCCTGCCCGGCAGGGGGCTTGCTGGCAGGTGTATGTCCAGATAAGCATAGGGCCGGGAGAGATCTGCCTGCTCCAGGAGCAGCTTTCAGGTCCCCTCTCAGTGTGCACAGGACCAAGAGACAGCTGCTGCTGCATCCAGCAGAGCTCTCCTGGCCCCATGCCCACAGGGACCAGCTCCATGCCCCTTGCCAGCCCTGGGGAAACCTGAAACTTTCCCTGGCTGCTACAGGGCAGCAGAGCAGGGTGGGAACAGATCTGCTCCCAAGAGGGGCCAGATGTAGATGTGCAATATTTTATTGTACAGTGAGCCTACTGCAAATCAATAGCATATGTAGACACACCCAGTTACATTCATCTCTATTGATGCTTTGGCTTATGAAGGATTACCTAGAAAGACTGTATTCATTACTGATTTATTGTTAGTCTCCTTCCTCCGCACACCAAGTGTCTTCTCAATAGACCACCGATACTGACCCATTGACAAAGACTGAAAAATGATACACCAGAAAAGCAGTAGCATAGTTTACTCTAAAGGAGAATAAACAGTTCTGGATACATGCTTCTGCTTGAAAATCCTCATTCTGAATGACAGCAGCAGCATTTAATTAGCCCTTTGTTTAGTGGATCGATGCAAATTTAAAAAATGCAGCATCCATGAACTTTCCCTGGGAAGAAGAGTTTTAACACACGCTGCTACATTGCTGTAGCAACATGCTACAGTTTTTGCATCTGCAGGCAAAAACCATGATGCCGCAGCTACATCGCTGTAGCAACGTGCTCCTTCAGTATAGTGCATTACTATGGCGATGCAGCAGCTAAAAATAACTGCACTGAGAGCATGGCACAGTACAGGCTGTTACTGCACCATTATTTTGTACTGCCGTTTGGGAGTAACGGTGCCAAAGGAGCATGTGTAGATGCACCCACTATGTACTAGAAAGGAGAACTCTCTGGCAGACAATAAGAAATGAACAAGACAACATCAGTTGCGCATTTTCATTTTCCTTCATTTCAGTGTTTTGGCGCACCATTTAACAGTCATTTTCCAAAATAAATTTTAGAAGTATACCCACAATAAATAAGAAGTGTTAATGAGAACTCATATTACAGGGTGAATTTAAACTACACAAAGACTGGCCGAGCTCCTGATCAAAAAGTCTTACACTGCCAATAGCTCCCCTACACTTTAGTGCTTGTGCAGTGGGGCAAGTGGGCTGCTGCATACATTTCCTTCTTAATGCTATGGTATTTATTTTTTGCACTCTCCGAGAAAAGAGCTCCTCAAAATGCAGTAAGTGGACAGGTCAACATCAGCTGGTCTTGCAAGAGGTATATTCCAGCTCTCAGCTTCTGCTGCTTGGCAGGGAACCTATTCCATTTTGTCTCCCCTCTAGCATCATTTGAGTAAGATCATCTGCGCACAAAACAGTAACAGCTGCCT